TAACAGAGGAGGAGAAGGACCTCAGAGTATTGGTTGATCACAGGATGACTATGAGCCAGCAATGTGATATGGCCGTGAAAAAAACTAATGCAGTCTTTGGATGCATCAGGCGAGGTATTTCCAGTAGAGATACGGGCGGTGTTAGTACCATTATACAAGGCACTGGTGAGACCTCATCTGGAATACTGTGTGCAGTTCTGGTCTTCCCATGTTTAGGAAGGATGAATTCAAACTGGAACAGGTACAGAGAAGGGCTACTAGGATGATCCGAGGAATGGAAAACCTGTCTAATGAAAGGAGACTCAAAGAGCTTGGCTTGTTTAGCCTAACCAAAAGAAGGCTGAGGGGAGATATGATTGCTCTCTACAGATATATCAGAGGAATAAATACCAGGGAGGGAGAGGAATTATTTAAGCTCAGTAACAACGTGGACACAAGAATAAATGGATATAAACTGGCCATCAGGAAGTTTAGACTTGAAATTAGATGGAGTGAAGTTCTGGAACAGCCTTCCAAGGGGAGTAGTGGGGGCAAAAGACATATCTGGCTTCAAGACTAAGCTTGATAAATTTATGGAGGGGATGGTATAATGAGATTGGTCTTTGACTATTAGCAGTAAATATGCCCAATGGCTTGTGATAGGATGTTAAATGGGGTGGGATCTGAGTTATTACAGAGAATTCTTTCCTGGGTGTCTGGCTGGTGAGTCTTGCCCACATGCTCAGGGTTTAGCTGATCACCATATTTGGGGTCAGGAAGGAATTTTCCTCCAGGGCAGATTGGCAGAGGCCCTGGGGGTTTTTCACCTTCCTCTGCAGCGTGGGGCACGGGTCACTTGCTGGAAGACTCTCGGCACCTTGAAGTCTTTAAACCATGATCTGAGGACTTCAATGGCTCAGACACAGGTTTGATACAGGAGTGGGTGGGTGAGATTCCGTAGCCTGCGTTGTGCAGGAGGTCAGACTAGATAATCATAATGATCCGTTCTGACCTTAAAGTCTATGACTCTAACTGCATGTGGGTTTCCCATATTCTGGGTGAGTGCTCTAACCACTTGAATAAAGGTTATAAGAGTGACAGCACCATCACCTCTCCCCCCCCCCCCCGCTTTGTGCAGTTCCTAATTCATAAGGCAGGCCCTGAGACCCCCTGCTGGATTGGGCCCTGCAGCCCAATACATGGGAGAAGACCAGGGCTTAGATACCAGGACTGAGGTGGCTGTGCACATGCCAAGCAGTAGATTTTTAGGTATTTAAGGGAATTTTGCAGCAGAAATGTAGGTGCCTAGGTTTTAGGTGCCTACAGGGTTAGGTGGCAGTTGAGCAGGGGTTTTAAAAATCTAAATTTTGTATTTAGGCACAAAAGGGTCAGTTAGGTGCATAAATCCCTTTGTGGATCTAGCCCTTTGTGCTAGAATTCCATACTTGTCAGAACACTCTTATTCAGACCAGCAAAGCAGGATTGCTTTTGTCTACCAGGATGGGAGACCTACTCAAGCCACATAGCGGAACAACATCTTACAACCCAGTTAGTCTTGTAAAGAAATGGACAACATGTTATACACCAGTGATTTCCATTTCAAATAATGAGTTTGTTAATTATGAGAGAGCTGAGTGTTTGGTTTTCATAAATGAAGGCCTGCCATCGAAAACACTAATGTTAATTGATTTAGAGCAAAAAAATATATATATAATTACTACAATATATCATTTTGTAATGTCATCTCCTGAATTTAACAATAGCATGATTTCCAAGTCACTGGTAAGCTTAGGCGTGACTTCATGAAATTCACTTTATGATTTGAAGTATAAATCATTTACCATGCCAATTTTTTTCCCCTTTAGTGATAAAATTCTACATGCTGTGATTGATCTCTCACTCATGCTGGTAACATTTTTCACCTCAACCTACATCCACTGAGTAAAATGTATATCCAATATAACTATATTTCAGTAATTTAGATCTTCCCCTTAGTCATTGAAATCTGCTTTTCACTTGAGCACTGTTAAAGTTTTATTGAGTTAAAACTTGAAAGATTACATTTTTCTTTAATTTCTAAACTTGAAGAACCCACAGGTATCTCAAGAATAATGTTTCCTTAAAATGCAGAGAGGACAAATCAAGTGGCTGGAGAACAGCATTGCAAACTACAACGAGGGGATCTAGGTCTGGGAATGGCCTGAAATAATTCAGATTATGTTTAAAAGAATATTTTTTTAAACAGAAATGAAGATTTTAAGGCATTTACATGCCCATGGAGAATCCAAATTCTTGCAATCAGAGGTCTCTCAGAACCCAGGAGTCCTATAACTTCATTAGGTGGTAGTGTTGTAGGAATAGGAGGATACTACAGGCCTATCTGTAGTACATCATTTGCTTTGCCTAGAATCAGCTGGAATGGTGACCAGAACACCTAGAGAGAACATTTACAATAAAATTAAGAAATATTCCTCTCTCCTCTCATCACTGCTCTCAGAGCCAGATCCCTTCAAGTTGAAGACAATGGAAGTTTTGCTGTTAACTTAAATGGGAGCAGCACTGAGCCATTAGATACCCTCTTATTTCTGATTCCCCATACCAGTTTTCATCTGCTGTAACAGTAAATACTAAAAAATAATTTACCCTTGCCATGCATTATTGGGTTATTAATGAGTGGCACCAATGCCCACACAAAAGTGTGTGTCATTAGGTTATCACCCTGCCAGCAGCACTTACCATTAGGGTTTGCACTGAGATAATATGAAGCTGAATATAGCTAGTCCAGTCAACTTCAATTGATATCTGATTAAATTAAAGATGAGGATAGAGGTAAAAGTCACATATAATGAATATCTAGACCACAAATATCTACGATTATGTTCTTCTCTACAACTTCTAACCTGATATCCACAACTTGCTCCTGTGATGAGGGATTATTTCTTTTAAACTAACGTTATATGCAAAGCTAGTGTATAAAGGAGAAAACACATTCATATTCTTGTTACCTCATCTTCCCTCTCACCAATCCCCATCACATGCTTGTTTCATCTACTTATAGCTTGCTATTAACCAAGATTTAAATTCCTTGAGGCAAGGACTGATTTTTACTACATGTTTATACGGATCCTAGTAAGCAGGGCCTGAAACCGGATTGATATCTTTGGCATTATTGTAATACAGATAATGTATTATAACAACCCCCAACTGCAATTTTGTGTCTTATTACTTCTTGCTCTTCTGTTAACTCTAAATTTAATATTCCTCAAAAGGAAGATAATATCATCCAGGGGTAATTCAGTAAATCAAATGCTTTAATTGTAAATAGGAGAACAGGTTAATTCATAGCAATGTTTACAGGTTACATACAAGAAAATCATAAGTGCAGATTGTTTACATAATTACCAGCTATTACTGAATATTTCATTTTGATAAATTCTTGAATAAGAGTAGACTGTCTGAAGATAACCGTACTATAGCAGAGTGGCCCAGGATAGAAATATAAGGGAATTTAATAACTGCCACTCATATTGCTGAAATAATGTACTCATTCACCTTACTTCCGTGGTGAACCTTGCTTATCTATAGACATCACCTCTCATAAAAAGGGATGCCATGAGTCAGTGTGGTAAATCTTGACTGGCAGACTCAGTACAATGAGGGTTGCAGTCACTTATCTGCTCTAACTTTGGGAGGGCAGATATTATGTTCAGAGATACTCAGCTCCCCATGGACATAGGGCCTTATAAAAAAGCCACACTGAAATCAATGGGGAAAAAAAGTGCAGTGCATGTCAATGGGCTCTGGTTCAGGCATGTACTCACAATGGCTCTAGCCTTATGGCCAAAGAAACCTTCTATACTATTACTAGTAGCAAGGAAAGTATAAGTGCACAAACAGATTAGTAAAGACCCATCCTTTGACAGCATGGTATATTCTTTTGTCACCAATGATACAAAGATTTTTCAGAAGAAATAAGTGGAGCTAAGTTTAAATGAATGGAAAAGGGGTTTAAATCAGAAAAAATGTACATTCTTGTTCCTTTGCATTTAATGGTAGACATTTTATTCAATAGCGAATACAAGAGAGTTCTATGTAAGTGGTGCATACACGTTGTAATGAATCCCTTGTAGAATCTAACCCCAACCAATGTAAGTTAACTAAATATGTACCAGAGAGACTTCCTACCATCCCATATTTTATAGATTAGCCATTATCAATAGTTGGAATGATACAGAAGCTTGCAATTTCCTCATTTTATGTATAGCAGGAAAGTTAATACAGAAAAATAAACTTGCTTTATTTCTAAATGTAATCACCCTAAACAACTATTACACCAGACCCGCCACACACAGCACATTTCCCTAAAACTTCTACAACAGAAATCAGCCTGCTCAAATCCACATATCTGGTGGGCTTCCTATGCTTGTCAATATTTCGTGTCCCAGAGTACAAGACTATCCTATTACTTACAAGCCAAATACCTATATTCCTGCCACAGCTAGGATGTTGCCAACAAATGCTTTCAATCTGAACAAAAATGCAGTGGTAGGATTGTAAACGTTGCACAAGAAGAAATAAAATAAAAACTTAGGCCTGGTCTACACTAGCCTGTTATTTCGGAATTAGCAGAGTTATTTTGGAAAAAAAAAGATTCCGTCCACATGACAAAACATTTTTTTTCGATTTAAAGGGCTCTTTAATTTAATTTCTGTACTCCACCTCGGCAAGTGGAGTAGTGCTTAAATCGAGATCGCAATCCCGGGTTAAAGGTATTGTGGATGCAATTCGACGTTATTGGCCTCTGGGAGCTGTCCCAAGATGCTCACTTGTGACCTCTCTGGTCAACACAATCAACTCCAATGCACTAGCCAGGTGGGCAGGAAAAGCCCTGGGAACTTTTGAATTTCATTTCCTGTTTGGAAAAAGAACAGGAGTACTTGTGGCACCTTAGAGACTAACAAATTTATTAGAGCATAAGCTTTCATGGACTACAGCCCACTTCTTCGGATGCATATATTTCCTGTTTGGTCACCAGCAGCACAGGTGACCATCAGGACAGTCCACCATCACAGGCAACCATGCAGAGTCCACCATCACAGGAGATCACGCAGTCCCGGATTCGCAGACGAGCTCCAGCATGGTCCAAACGGGAGGTAATGGATCTCATCGCATGCTGGGGAGACGAGTCTATTATGGCAGAACTACATTCCAAAAAAAGGAACGCAAATAACTATGCTCAAGTCTCCAGGGCCATGATGGAAAGAGGCGACTCCAGGGACACAGACCAGTGTCGTACAAAAATCAAGGAGCTTAGGCACGCATACCAAAAAGCCAGGGAGGCAAACGGGCGCTCTGGGTCACAGCCCCATACATTCCACTTTTACCATGAGCTCCATGCAATTATGGGGGGTGATGCCACCACTACCCCACCACTGTCCGTGGACACCTGCAAGGGGGGAGTTGCATGGAGCGAGGCGGAAGAGACATTGGAGGAGGAGGAGGAGGACAGTGCACATGCGGCAAGTGGGGAATCCATTTTCCTCCCTAGCCAGGAACTAATCTTAACGCTGGATCCAATAGCCTCCCCTCACTCCCAAGGCGGGCTCCTGTTCCATGACCCTGGAGAAGGTACTTCTGGTGAGTGAGAGCCTGATCGGAGCCACGAGGTGGGGGGGGGAGTGTGTGGGGGGGTTGTTGTGTGCAGTGATCATCCCAGAGAGCCCGTAGGCCCTCCTTTTATATGGCAAACCCACCAGGCATTGCTTGCTGTGGGAAAGGGGGCCCAGCAGTTTGAAAGCATTGAAATGAATGTAGAAGAAGCAGAACCCTGCGTGCCCCTAGAGGCTGCCTGCAAGATGAATTCTGTTGCCTGGCCATGTGTGATGGCTTACTCATACCAAAGTGCCCCCTTTGTTCTCTCCAATGTATTTTTTAAAATACTACCCTCCCTTTTTCTCCTCCCGCAGGTGCAAATGTTTCAACGTGGCCCCTATCTACTCCATCCCAGAGGCTGGTCCAGATTACAAGGCGAAAAAACAAACTCAGGACGACATGTTCGCCGAGCTCATGCAGTCCTCCCGCACTGATAGGGCCCAGCTGAATGCGTGGAGGCAAACAATTGCGGAGTCCCATAAAGCATTACAGGAACATGAAGAGAGGAGGGAAGCGCGTGATGAGAGCAGGCAGGACACTATGGTCAAGCTCATGGGGGAGCAAACTGACATGCTCCGCTGTATGGTGGATCTAATGTGGGAAAGGCAGCAAGACCACAGACTTCCGCTGCAGCCCCTGTATAATCAAACTCCCTCCTCCCAAGTTCCATAGCCTCCTCACCCAGATGCCCAAGAACATGAGGTGGGAGGCTACAGGGACCCACACACTCAACAGAGGATTGCCCAAGCACCAGAAAGCTGGCATATGCAAACTTTTGATTTGCTTTCTGGACTTTCCTTCCCTCCTCCTCCACCACCCCCCTAACTCAACCCTCCCCGCCCCCAGTCTACCTTCTAATTTCTCTCAATGTGTTGTGCATTAAATAATAAAGAACAGTTTTTAAACAATTTTGACTTTATTTCCTTTCATATATATATATATAGGGTGCGGGTATCTTCAAGAGAAACAAACACAACTGTCACACCATAGCCTGGCCAATTATGAAACTGACTTTCAAAGCTTCTCTGATGCGCAGCGTGCCCTGCTGCGCTCTTCTAATCGCCCAGTTGTCTGACTGTGCAAAATTGGCAGCCAGGCGAGTTGCCTCAACCTCCCACCCCACCATAAAAGTCTCCCCCTTACTCTCACAGATATTGTGGAGCACACAACAAGCAACAATTGCAATTGGAATATTGGTTGTGCTGAGATCTAACTGAGTCAGTAAACTGTGCCAGCGCCCTTTCAAACGTCCAAAAGCACATTCCACCACCATTCTGCACTTGCTCAGCCTATAGTTGAACTGCTCCTTACTACTCTCCAGAGTGCCTGTGTACGGCTTCATGAGCCATGGCATTAAAGGGTAGGCTGGGTCCTCGAGGATAACTATAGGCATTTCAACATCCCCAACAGTAATTTTCTGGTCTGGGAAGTAAGTCCCTTGCTGCAGCTGTTCAAACAGACCAGAGTTCCTGAAGATGCGAGCGTCATGCACCTTTCCTGGACAGCCCACGTTGATGTCGGTGAAACGTCCCTTGTGATCCACCAGTGCTTGCAGCACCATGGAAAAGTACCCCTTGCGGTTTATGCACTGGCTGCCACGGTGTGCCAGGACCAAGATGGGGATATGTGTTCCGTCTATCGCCCCGCCGCAGTTAGGGAACCCCAGCGCATTGAAGCCATCCACAGTGGTCTGCACATTTCCCAAAGTCACTACCCTTGATAGCAGCTGGTCAATGATTGTGTTGGCTACTTGAAGCACTGCAGCCTCTACAGTAGATTTGCCCACTCCAAACTGATTCCGACTGACCGGTAGCTGTCGGACGTTGCAAGCTTCCACAGTGCTATGGCCACTCGCTTCTCAATGGTGAGGGCTGTTCTCATTTTGGTGTCTTTGCGCTTCAGGGCAGGGGACAGCAAGTCAAAAAGTTCCATGAAAGAGGCCCTACGCATATAAAAGTTTCGCAGCCACTGGGAATCATCCCAGACCTGCAACACTATGTGAACCCACCAGTCTGTGCTTGTTTCTCGGGCCCCAAATCGGTGTTCCACAGCATGAACCTGGCCCAATGCCACCATGATCTCCCAATGACCTCACGCTGTGCATCTAGGAATGTCTGTGTCCATGTCCTCATCAGTATAGTAATCACACTGTTGTCGCTTCCTCGCCCGGTTTTGCAGGTACTGAACATACTGCTGGATAATGCACGCAGTATTTACAATGGTCAAAACTGCAGCAGAGATCTGAGCAGGCTCCACGTTTGCCGTGCAATGGCGCCTGCACGGGTAATCCTTGCAAAAGAGCACGAAATGAACTGTTTGGTTCAAGATGGCCAATAAAAGGCGGTAAATGGTTGTCTTCTGTAGCTTCCACGGGAGCCTAGGACCGATAACATGGAAAAAGCGGTGAGAGCAGAGTTTGCGGCGGAAACTGTGCGGCTCTGTTGACAATGGCCGAGAAACGGCGGGGAATTGTTGCCTTCTGTAGCTTCCACAGGAGCTCAGGACAGACAACATGGAAAAAGCGGTGGAAGCTGTGTGGCTCTGTTCACGGTGGCCAAGGACATTCGAAGTGGATTCAACATACCAGGAGACAGGCGGTGCACCATGCTGCACCGTCTGCTGGCAGTATGGCATCTGCCGTAGCTTTCACACAGGAAGGAGCGAGTGACGGCACACACCCAGAAAAACCCGCGAGAATGTTTTTGCCCCATCATGCACTGGGAGCTCAACCCACATTTCCAATGGATGGCAGAGACCGCGGGAACTGTGGGATAGCTACCACAGTGCACCGCTCCGACATTCAATGCTAGCCTCAGTACTGTGGACGCACTCCACCCAATTCACGCGCTTTAGTGGGGACACATAACATCGAATGTAAGAACTCGATTCTGGAAATTTAAATAAAATAACTTTGAATTAATTTCATCCTGTAGACGTACCCTTAGTCATATTAGATAGTCAACTCTCCATAGTCAAGTTAGTGTTAATGTATGCATTTTATATAAATACTGTACTTCGAGTACTGTCAATTGATTTTAATAAAATTCTTGCCCTCTTTTCAGATGATAGAGATCTGTCCCTCACAAAGTTGCAATATATAAAGTGGGCCCGATTCACCAGTTACACCAATTTTACACCATTTAACTCCTTTGCTTTCTCTGTAGTTACAGGTGTAAAACTAGTGTAACAGTGGTGAAGCAGACCTAATATATAGTTTATTTTAGGCCCAGTTCTGCACTCCATTGCACCTTGTATAGTCATTATCACCTCAGCAAAGTGAAAAGAAATGAAAAACCCAACTCAGTCAGAAATAACCCACTTTGCCCTCAACTTTCCATAATTGTTCGTGACTACATCACAGGTGGTGGTGGGGGGGGATGTCAGAATTGTTCTGACTTTTTTCAAAATTATATGGACACATTTTTCCAATGTTCAAGACATTCTAAGCTACATAAGATGCAAGGCACTGAAGAATCAAACACATTTTATGTATTATGTGTACATACTTTTAGTTACCCGAGTAGTTCCACTGAGGTTAATGCGGCTGCTCACATGCTTAAAAGTTACGCATGTGCTTAGATACTTTGCTGATTCAAGGCCCTTGTTACCCAGTACAGTATAGCTGCAGTATTGAAGTTTTTTTCCTTAAAAAGAAAACAGATCCCTTTGGGATTTGGACATGATAGGAACCAAGGAGTGTTCTTTCCTTTGTTTGGTAGTGAAAATAGTGCATATTTTCCCCAAAAGCCTTAGCTAAGAAACCAGCCTTAACTAATCTATCGTGCCTTGATATATTTCAGTTCATATGGGATATCAGCTGCTAGAGACAGGTTCCCAATATGGGACTATACCATATGTAATAAAAGCAATATGCTCCCTGTAAATTAAAGCGTATGGACTGTGGCTTGACTGTCTGAATGATTAACTATTACAGTTATCAAAGACAACTAAACTATTAATATAACTTTTTTTAGCCAAATTCCTAGCTAGTACACCTGAACAGATATATGTGGGGTATGAATACTACAGAGCAGCTCCAGGGAGGCTCCAGCCTAATGGCTGGAGCAGCCTCTTTATCCCTTGGTGTGGCCCCTACTACAGGAAGGATTGGAAGATCCATATCATACTTCTCTATGCCTTTCTATGGTCTACCCTCACCCATCACCTGTAAAGAGGAGTCAGGGTTCTGTGCTGTGTAGGAGTTGCACATTCTTTGCGTGGGGCCCCAAAACAGCAACTCCACCTTCTCTGCAAAGCTAAGCCGTCCACTGCTTAAGAGGAAGGGGCAGGATTTATTCCATAGTGAATCACAATTATAATACTTACTCATCTTTGTAAAAGTACTTTGAGAGCTACTATATTGTACACAATATGCATCAACTCCTTTCTACATGTGGTAGAGAGAGTTTAAGTGGTTTGCCCAAGATCATACAGAGAATCAGATGCAGACCTGGACACTGAATCTAGGGGTACGTCTATACCCAGCCGCTAGTTCGGCGGCTGGCAATCGAACTCCTGGGTTCGACTTATCGCGTCTTGTCTGGACG